GGGGGCGGCAGGCTCCCGGCTGAGCAGAGAGGCCTATGCAGGGCTAGATCCCAGGACCCTGGGATCATGAACTGAGCGGAAGGCAGAGGCTTTAACCCACTGAGCCACCCAGGCACCCCTCAGTTTGACTTCTTCAGTGATCTTTTGGATTTTATTAAGGCTATCAGCCCTCGGCCACAGCTGCCTTAAATATTTTTCTGTTTGCTTCAGAAAAACAGAAGAAAACCTGTTTTTCTTCTACCTTCTAGAAGGTTCTACCTTCTACCTGTTTTAATTATTTTTTTCAGACTTATTTATTCTAGAGCTAAGACATGAGTAAGAGGGGCAGAGAGAGTGGGAAAAGGAATCTCAAGCAGACTCTGATGAGCAAAGCTGACTTGGGTCTCAATCTCATGATCCTGAGATCATGACCTGAGCTGAAACCATGAGTGGGACAATTAACCAACTTCACCACCCAGGAGCCCCTGTTTTAATATTTAGAAACAAGGACATTTTTAATTTTGATGAAGTCAAAGCCATGGATAGTTTCTTTTACCTTTTCTATTTTACTTTCTTTTATCTTTTTTCTTTAAATATGACAGCTATGTAGTCTTTTTTTTTTTTTTTAAGATTTTATTTCTTATTCATTTGGGGGGACATAGAAAGAGGGAGAGAGAGAATCCCAAGCAGACTCTGCACGGAGCTAGGAGCCCAGCACAGGGCTCAATCCCACAACCCTGAGATCTTGACCTGAGCTGAAATCAAGAGTTGGACACATAATCTGCTGAGCCACCCAGGTGCACTGACATTTAGGTAATCTTTAATTGACCTTAACAAGGAACGAACGACAAAATGTGTCAAAGTTCGTGATGAAAGCCCTTTCTCCCCCACCCCTCCCACCCCCCCACCCCCGCCAAGTACTCTCTTTCATCTTTAAGCTTAGAAAGATATTTCCTATGCAGAGATAAAAGATGCATTTATTCATCACCTATCTCTTTCATCAGTTTTAAAATAACATTTCTTCATAGTTTATCCTCTCTAAAATAGGGATGTGTCTTAAAAACCAGTGGCATGTTTTATTTTTTAAAGATTTTATTTATTTGACAGACAGAGATCACAAGTAGGCAGAGAGAGAGGAGGAAGCTGGCTCCCCGCTGAGCAGAGAGTCCGATGTGGGGCTCGATCCCAGGACCCTGGGATCATGACCTGAGCCGAAGGCAGAGGCTTTAACC